ACTTTGTAGATCTTCGCTGAGCAACAACATCCCATTAGAACCGTAAAGAGCATCATCACGAGCATGAAGCAAAAAGTTTTTGCTGCTGTTGTCGTCATTATCGATCGAAGATGAAGAAAAAAAAATCACAAAGATGACTGAAGAGTAAAAGTTTAAGAAGAGGTTGATGAATCAAAGAGCGTTGTGAATGAGAAAAAATAAATGATCCTAAGTCTCTTTTTATAAGTTTCTACCGAATCTAGTCCTTCTGGCTTCAGGAATTGGTAATTATTTAAGATTAATTGTTTACCACGTTTGAAATACTACAAAACATTGTGTGCTCCTTTTCCAATTTCGATCCCACATCTTATGTTGCAAAACTGAAAATATCTTTAATCCTTTTCTGATTCGGCTTGTGATGATTTTATTTTTATTTTTATAACTGAATCCAAAATCATATCCTATATCATTTAAAAAAAAAATGTTTACAGTGATCATTTGATATCTGTTTAACTATTTTCCTTTTATGAACTAAATACACCGTGTAACTAGTTTTTTGATAATCCGAAAGTATATCTTTTAAAGGTACAAAAATCCACTAAAATAATCACAAACAAAGATTTTAAATTTTATAATAAATAATTAGATAATAACACCATATATGTAAGATAAAAGTCTACAGATAAATTATTAAATATGATTTTAAAATTACTAAGATAAAAATATTTTAATTAATTTTATGTGTATAATATATGTGAGTAACAATAAAATTTGTTTATAAAAACTTATAATTAATTTTAATATTATTTTTTTTATATGAAAGCATATGTTGATATTTGTAACCAATAATTTTACAAATACTCAAACTTTTTTTTTTTTTGAAAAAACAAATACTCAAACTTACTTCCTAATAATTATTTTTTAAGATCAGAATACTATTATTACCCCACAAGTACACGACTTATCGTGGATTCTCTTGTGGCTCGCCAAACAAGTAACAAGATTATTAGTCTGATAATCTCTTTCACCACATTTCCGTTCCAGTCTATATTTGCTTTTCTCACCTTTAAAAAAGGGTTTTCTGCATTTTAACCTATAATTTTAAAAAGTTTTGCAATTTTAACCTCGACCTTACTGAACTGATAAAAACCACTGCGTTTATTGATATTTGGGGATTTTGCTTGAGATAGAATTAAAATTAGTGTTCTTGAGCTTTTGCGATTTGAAGAATCTCATCTCATTTAGATCTGTTCTCTTCGTTTTTGCATCTCTGTGTCGCCAAAATCAAAGGTAATTGTTTGCATCTCTGCTCCATAATCTCATCTTTGTGTCATTTCTCGGATCTGGAATATGTTTACTATTAATAATGTTCGAAGCTTCCTTGTGTGAAATTGAGAAGTTCTGAAGTTCTGATGATGAAATGCAAATCTGTTGTTGTTCTTATCAAATGCAAATCGGATTTGTTAGATATTTATAATTTCTGCATCAATATCATGTGAAATTGAGAAGTTCTGAAGTTCTGAAAGATTTTGTTGTTTATTGATGGAGATTGTAGTGTTTTGTATAGATGGGCATTCATAGCTACACTCAACCTTCAAACAGTAGTGGTAGCAATTCAAGTGGTGTTAGGTGAAGATTTGCTCGGAATGAAATCTCAATAAAAGAATATGGGATTATGACTGAATGTTATTGTGGAGCTCGAGCAATCATCAATACTTGTCGTTTCACAATAGATCCGGGAAGAAGGTTTTTCACTTGCCCAAACGTAGGAGATGGAGAATGCCACATTTGGAAGTGGTTGGACGAGGGAATCCTAGAGGAGCTTACTCTCATTCATAACGATTATGGAACACTGTTAGAGAAGATAGAGCTATTCACCTACATTGACGATTTGGCAAAAGCCGAAATTGATCAACTCAAGACTCAGACCGAAGAAAACATTGCCAAGTTGGTGATGTTTGTTGATGAGATGAAGAAGAAGAAAAGTGGCATAACAAGTGGTTTGAAGATGCATATTTCTCTTGGTACAGTCATTGTGATCATTGCTCTCACCATTATAATGTTTAAGTAGATGTTTAAGTAGATGTTGAAGTAATAACTCTATGTTTGAAATGTTTGAAGACCTTGTTGCCGTGTTTAAAAGACTTGAAGTTATCATTATGATGTATAATATTATTGCTTGATCTAATATATTCAGAAATGTTGGTTTATATGATAGTTTCACTGTAATAGTTCAATTATGTTGGTTCACTATAATAAGCATCTGTTGAAAGACAACAAAAGTGAAACAAAAGTAGTGTCACAAATGATATTGTCATAAAAGACACAAACAAAGGATTCAAAAGCAAAGAAATAGAAAGTAAAATCTTAAAAGAGTTGCAAAAACAAAATAAAAACAGAGTATACATGATCCGAAAGAAAAACAGAGCATGAGTTTCACCAATACAAAACAGAAGAAACAAAACATCTCTCTCTTCATCGATAGAAACCAGATCACTTCTTCTTCCCACGACCTCGTGAAGCCATTTTCTTGCGCTCTATTGCTGCAAAAAGGTGGCTTGATAGGATTGTATTGTCACTTGTTACACGTGATCCAACTGATACGTAGCTATCACCAGTTAAGCGACTTGTGAAAAGTCCATATCCTTCCTGAAAACACACATAAACCCAAATGCCTTCGGCAAACGAAATCAGCATAGAAGACAAGCTGAATACATACTCTCGGTATCTGTATAGGTGCTGTGTCATAAGAAGGCTGATGCTGCCTAGAAGCTTCTTGTGAAGATGAGGCAGCCCCAAACCAATCTCTGTGTGGCCTTCCAGGTCTTCGCTTTGGCAGGGCTTGTGAAATACTTGTAGGGCGTTTGGGTTGTTCTCTTCGAAGGCGTTCAGTAGGCTGACTTTGAACTTGAGATGGCAAACTTTGCACTTGGGATGATGTTGTGCTCTCTATTGGAGGTGGGTGAATTCTTGGCCTCCCGTGTGGTTTCTTTGATGTTTTAAGCACAAAAGCGTTGCTGCATTTGGTCTTGTAGTGTCCACAATTCCCACAATGCTATGGACAACAGTGAAACAAAGATATCATTAGCATCGACTACACTACAAAAGACTATATTCATTAGCATCGGCTACACTACAAAAGACATCTTAGACAACTAACTAATGATCTTAGACAACTAACTAACACATAATTCAACACCCTCTCATCACATAATTTACAGTTTCAAAACAAACATACTACAAGAGAAAGAGAGAGAGTGACATTACCATGACAAGTCCCACTTTGGTCATTTTCCCTTTCTCTCTAGCTTCACCCTTTTCCCTCTTTCTCTTCTTACCTGATGGTCTCCCTGGAGGCTTCTTATGTGGAGGTGGCTTAACCCTTTCAGTGGTTGTTATCTCCCACAGATTCTTGCCATTCACAGGCTCCATTAGAGTTTCATAGCACTTATGTGGCTTCTCTACTGTAAACCAGTCCGAGATGAAAGTTTTCGGATCATAATCAACATTTTTCTCCAACCGAAGTGCAGAGACCATATGGCATCAAGGAATGCCACTTACAATGTACATTCTGCATGCACAAAGCACCTCACCTCTTGAATTGGACTACAAACCGGTCGCTGAAGTATCCAACTTCGTACTTACCCAAACCGCAGGGTAAAGGACTGCAATTCTTTGCAAGCTCTATTTGTTGATCGAGCAATGCTCTTGCTCTAGGAGTAAAAATCCCCTTAGATTTCTCTGATTCTTTTCTTTTCTTCTCATTGCTCACAAGGACACGTCTTCGTATCTCTTTAAGCATCTCAACAACTGGTTTGGTTCTCGCCACACGGATGGCTGCATTGAAGGACTCTCCTAAGTTGTTTTCCACAGCCGCACACTTAGAGAATTCAGTGAAACAAGCCCCACGTTAGATACTAGAAGAGTTAGATACTACAAAAGTTAGAATTTGTAACTAAAAGAGACATAAATAAAATGAAAACATATCTAGACCAAGCACATGAATTTGATATCTTCAAATCATCAAAAGCTTTTTGGGAAATATTCTTCAATGCATGCATCTTCCTTTCAAAATCCTGCATGTAATATGCATCTGCAACACCCCAAAACAAGTTCTCATACTCTGCTCCGCTATGTAACTTCTTCCAGTTCTGATAAACATGGCGTGCACACAGCCTGTGTTCAGCATACGAAAGTGCTGTATTGACCGCTCCTATTAGCCTCTTACATTGATCACTGGATAAAGTCAAACCGTTGCCTATTCCTAATCCTAAGTCATCAACCAGTTGCTGAAAGAACCAAATCCAATGCTCTTAAGTTTCACCATCCACAACGCCCCAAGCAATAGGGAACATTTGATCATTTGGATCTCTTCCACATGCAACTAACAAAAATCCAGTCATTCTCCACTTCAGAAAGGTACCATCAATGTGTATGATATTCCGACAAGCTCCCTTCAACCCATCTTTCAAAGCTTTGAAATATACATAAAATCTATGAGAAACACCTTCTCTAACCTCACATTCCACACTTGAACCTTCATTATATCTCTTTATTTCAGCAACATAATCATGTAGCCTTGCAAACTCCTTTACTTGTTCATCATCAAACGATTGCAAGCATCTTAACCTTGTCCTCTCACAGGTAGTCCAAGGAACATTTATGTTTCACTTTAGCAATTTAACTTGTAGTTGATTTGCTGAAAAATGTGGATTCTCCCTAAACTCTTCCTTATAGATGTCTGCTATGCGTGCGTTAGTAAGCAGAGACACTTTACCTTGCCATGTGCAATTATTCTCTTCTTGTAAAGCTCTTACCACAACCCTGCTGCTAGTGTTATTGATCGATCCACAAATCCTCCAAGGACATTCTCGTTTACAACAAACAACAACAACTCTTTTGCTATCCGATTTAAAGTATGATATATCATACTTCTTCTTCAATGCATACTTTGTAATTGCATTCTTGAAAGACTGAATTGTAGAGTAACACTGTCCAAGCGCAAACGCCTTATACTTGCTCTAATCTATGGTCTTACGAGCACCATCACTATCACTATTTGCAACTTCTTGTACCTCTCTGTCAGCCTCAGACGCATCCTCATTCTGAGCTACAATATCACGACCACCATCATTATCACTCCTTTCATCAGAACTACTCTCACTGCTCTCACTGCTTTCATCAGAACTGTCATCACTATTAGCACTATCACAATTCACATTATCACCATTATCCTCGAAAGGTGACACGCCAACTCCATCACCACTGCGATTCATCAAATATGGATCATCTTCCCTAACAATAAACAATGTTAAAGCACCTGATCCAAGAGCATATGAAACCACTTTTCCTAAGACATCATTGTCATCAATGTCGACTCTCTGCAGACTCTCATCACCTGGTGGAAACCAAGATACTTTCTTCATGTTATCTTCATAGCTCATTGCTTCAACTACTAACATCTCAATGGACCTCAAACTGAAACCATCAGCCAACATTCTACCTACGGCACTTGTTTCTCCACTAATGTAAGATCCGTCTCTAGACCAGTAGCCACCAATATGAAAGAAGAGATCAAAACTGCAAATATCGCAGAAACCCCAAGCTATTAATCGCATAGAAACAACAATCCTAAGTATGAATCTAATTCTAAGAAATAAGAGAAGCAAAATAGATTTAGAAATGTTACCTCATATTCGTTGGATCTCAAATGCACCAGGACTCCAAACGAATCTTTCCCAGAAAATTCAGTTCTCTCTTCCAAACTTTAGAGCTCGACGAAACTCCTTAAATAAATCCCGAAAATCCCCAAAACTCGAATGAACTACTCAAATCGAGGACGAAAACTCGAATGAACCTACTCGAATGAACCTACTCGAATTGAATTAGAATCCTGATATCTACTCTAATCAAACTTTTGGATTATCGACCTCAGAAACCATTTCTCTCAGCCACTATGAACCCTAATTTTTAATTTTGTTCCGATATCGATTTTTTCTTTTAATTACTGCCAACCACGAACAATATGTCGTTTTATGTCGTTAAAACGACATAGAAAATAAAATCCATCCTGTTTTACGCAGCGTTTTATATTCTGTCTGATTTCCAAACAAACGTTTATAAATGACATGTCATCGATACACATGTGGACTGTATTGCGGATTGACCGTGGGGTGAGAGTTTGACCTGTATTTTTGAGAGGTCGAGGGTTGATTTGCAAAACTTGGTAAGGCCACAGGTTAAAATGCAGAAAACTCTTAAAAAAAACAAATTGTTCAGCTAATAATATTACAAAGAGATTACTGCAAAAAAAACCCTTAGACTAAATTATTTTTGCAAAATAAACTCTCACCTCAAAAAAATGCAAGTCAATCTTATGAACTCAAAAGCCATCTGCAATATAAGACTTTCGTATAATGTTGATGCCGACACTAACGTTTCAGTTAATTGTTTTGACGGAATCCAAAATTACATTGTTTTGATCAAGAAAAACAATTCTAAAATATCGATACTAAAGACTCGACCCGACGATCTCTCAGTTACCACATAAGGCAGATCTACCAACTGGGTTAATAGAAATATTGAACAATCCGGAAATTTTCTCGAAATCGCTCCCTTTAAATCGCAAAGTTAATTTTAGCTATCTTTTTTTCTTTTTCTTTCAACCCAAGATTACAAATCTCTCATTATTCTCTCATCAAACACAAGATTACAAATCTCTCATTAACCTCTCTAAATCTATCATTAACCTCTCTAAATCTATCATTAACCTCTCTAAATATATCATTAACCTCTCTAAATCTCTCTCTCTCTCTCTCTCTCTCTCCCTTGTTGGAATTTGATCATATGCTTAATCCTGTGCAAGAAAAAAAAAAGGAAGAGAATCAGAAGAAGAAGATAACAGAAGGAAGAACCTGTTCGGGGCATGAAGAAGAAGATAACAGAAGGAAGAACCCGTTCGGGCGTGAAGAAGAAGAGAAGTAAAAGAGGAAGGAAGAAGACACGTGTGTTATTGGAGGAAAATTAAAACCTATTGTTATTGGGCCATAAGTAGTTTAAGCCCAATCTTAAATGGGTTTCAGTTATAATTGTAACAAATAAAATAGGGTTAAGACAAGTAGTATAAATATGTAAGTGTGATGGATGGATAAGAGAAGAAGAGATATTTTATCAGAAATGTGGCTTCTGATTTACTGTTCATCATATAACCAAGAGAACACGAGAAACGAACATGGTATCACAGAAGTCAGGTTCTGGTGGCCTGGAAGAAAGAAGATGGTTTCAGATATGTAAGAAGGACAATCACTATGAGGATCAATGTTACTTCAGACAGAGTTATGAAGATCAACATTTTTCAAAACAGTTCAGACCAAGGAAAGCTTGTTTCACATGTAGGAAATCTGGGCATTATGCAAAAGAATGTAGAAGCTCAGGAAATCAAGCTGGCCAAACACAAACACAAGTCAAGGAAAGAAACGATGGGTGGTTTGATGCAGCACATAGCGTCGAGCAAACAAGTGGTGATGAAGTGTGGTTAATCGACAGTGGTGCTACAAACCACATGACTAAAGAAGAGAGGTTTTTCACAACCTTAGACAGGACCTGTCAAGTTCCTATCAGGATAGGAAATGGAGCTATACTAATGACTACCGGAAAAGGAAACATTGAGGTAATGACCAAAAGGGGAAAAAAAGTTATTAGAAATGTTTTCTTAGTCCCAGAAATAGATAAAAAGTCTCCTAAGTGTGCCTCAAATGGCGAGAAATGGATATGAGATAGTGTTCAAAGGGAACAAATGCATAATACACAATAATGTTGGAGAAAAAATTGCTGAAGTAGATCGGTATGTAATGCATATCGGTTGAAAATGCAAATAGTTGAAGAGAGTGCAAGACCAGCAAGTGAAGAAAACTTATCTGAATTATGGCACAGAAGACTTGGACATTCTGGGTTCCAAAATCTGCAAAAACTACAAACAAATCAGATGGTAAAAGGACTTCCTAAATTTAATGTCATACATGATGTATGTGAAGCATGTATTAAAGGGAAGCAGTGCAGAGAACAGTTTCCTAAAATATCAGAAACAAGGAGCTCAAGGACATTGGACCTGATTCACACAGACTTATGTGGTGCGATGAAAACTCCATCATGTAGTGGCAGTCTCTATATTCTCACTTTTACGGATGATTACTCGCACATGGTGTGGGTATATTTTCTAAGACTGAAATCAGATACTTTCTCTACCTTTAAGAAGTTCAAGATCATGGTTGAGACACAAACAGGAAGAAGGATACGGAAAATCAGATCAGACAGAGGGGGTGAGTTCAAGTCAGAACAATTCACGAAATTCCAAGAAGAAAATGGAATTCAAAGACAGTTTACTGTGGCTTATTCGCCCCAGCAAAATGGAGTGGCTGAAAGAAGAAATAGAACTTTACTCGACATGGCCAGAAGTATGCTAAAAGATCAAGCAATGCCAAATAAATTCTGGGCTGAAGCAATCTTCACAGCAGCATACCTTCAAAACAGACTTCCCACCAAAGCATTAAACCAGAAAACTCCACTTGAAGCTTGGAGTGGCCACAAGCCGTCAATTAGACACATTAGAGTGTTTGGGTGTATATGTCATGTTTTGATTCCTATTGCAAAGAGAAAGAAGCTTGATGATAAATCTGAAAAATGTGTGTTTATGGGATATAGCAGTGTAAACAAGGGGTATCGAGTGTATATGATAAACACAGAGAATATTGAAGTGTCAAGAGATGTTGTGTTTGAAGAAAATAAAGGATGGGATTGGGAAACACATGAAGAAACAAAGGATCCACGTGAGTCTCAAATCAACAATAGCAAGTTATCTTAAAAGAATTGTACTAGAATGCATGAAGATACTCTAAGTCCAGCAACTAGAGTAGACACAAGAGATAGAAGATCATGCATATGTCATGTACCATTTGAGCTCACTGGAGATGGTTCAGGGAGTAGTGGTTCATCAAGAAATGTGCATACAATGAGAATGTTGAATGACATATATCAAGAAGAGGAAGGACAAAATAATGAGTCAACTCAAGTTCATGAATCTTGTTAGTTTACCTGTGAGGAGCCTCATGACTTTGACAAAGCTATACGGTATAAAGAGTGGAGGAAAGCAATGGATGCAGAGATTAGTGTGATCAATAAAAATGGAACTTGGATAATCATAGAAAGACCTGCAGACAAGAAAGTGATCACAGTCAGATAGATTTACACTGTAAAAACAGATGAGAATGAGCATATCCAGAAGTTGAAAGTAAGACTAGTAGCTCGGGAGTTTACTCAGACATACGGTGTGGACTATGGGGAAACTTTTGCTCCAGTTTCAAGACATGATACAATCAGAACTCTAATAGCCCTTGCTGCACAAAATAGCTGGAACATGCATCCGATGTATGTTAAGTCTGCATTTTTAAACGGAGAACTTATAAAAGAAGTGTATGTAGAACAACCACCAGGCTATGAGATAGAGGGAGCAGAGAACAAAGTCTACAAACTGAAAAAGGCATTATATGGATTAAAGCAAGCACCAAGAGCTTGGCATAGCAAAATAGATTCATTTTTCATATCACAAGGATGCAAGAGAAGTGATTGTGATGCAGTAATGTATATCCAAGAACATAAAGGAGAGATTATGGTGATTAGTCTATATGTGGATGATCTTATTATCACAGGAAGCAGTGAAAGGATGATTGAACAGTTTAAACATAAACTGAAAGAAACCTTCGAGATGACTGATTTGGGAAAGCTAAAGTACTTTCTTGGTTTTGAAATTACGTGCACGACAGAAGGGTTGTTCTTAAGTCAAAAGAAATATGCTCAACAGTTGTTGAAAAAGTTTGGAATGGAGAACTGTAAGAGTGTTGACACACCACTCACACCTTACGGAAAGGATCAAGAAAAAGGAGAAGAACTTACAGATCCTAAGCTCTACCGTAGCATAGTGGGAGGACTCTTGTATTTAGCAGCAACCAGAACAGACCTTGCCTTTGCTGCCTCCTACTTGTCTAGGAGATTATCTCAACCAAAGGAGCACAACCTGAAAGAAGCAAAACGGGTATTGAGATATATACAAGTAACAATAGACTATGGTCTAAACTTTAAAAGGGCAGATCAAGCTGAGCTAATTGGATTCTCTGTTTCAGATTGGGCAGGGTGTAAAGATGATATGAGAAGCACCACAGGAATTTGTTTCTCATTAGGAAGTGCAATGTTTATATGGTAAACACAAAAAAAATATACAATTGCTTAATCAACAGCAGAAGCAGAATATATGGCACTCAGCTCAGCAACAAATCATGCAGTGTGGCTGAAACGAATGCTAGGAGAACTAAAAGTTGATGTTGCAGGGAGTGTCCCAATATATTGTGATAATACATCAGCTATAGCAATTGGAAGAAATCCAGTTCAGCACAAGAGGACTAAGCATATCCATATACGGTTTCATGTGGTACGTGAAGCAGAGAAAGATGGAGTAATCAAGTTAAGATTTTGCAGTGGTGATGAACAAATTGCAGACATCCTTACAAAACCACTTGGAATAAGAAGATTTGAGGAACTGCGAATGAAACTTGGAGTAATACAAAATCCATCTGAGAAACCACTGGAAACTCACATGAAGATCAAGTCTGTGGAATTTGCTAATTCAATAAAAACTAGAGAAACAATAAAGAATGAGGTGATGAGGGAGAAGGCAAACGTACCAGTGAGTTTTGCTGATGTCGTAAGAGGGATTCGTCCAGGAAATCATAAATTCACCGGAGAAAACGAAGGAGGAAGAAGGATCAAATCCTTAAATCCAATTTTGGGGATTAAGCAAAGGAATCAAGAGGGAGTGCTAGAATTTGATCCTATGCTTAATCTTGTGCAAGAAAAAAACAAAGGAAGAGAATCAGAATAAGAAAATAACAGAAGGAAGAACCTGTTCGGGGCGTGAAGAAGATAACAGAAGGAAGAACCCGTTCGGGCGTGAAGAAGAAGAGAAGTGAAAGAGGAAGGAAGAAGACACGTGAGTTGTTGGAGGAAAATAAAACCTGTTGTTATTGGGCCATAAGTAGTTTAAGCCCAATCTTAAATGAGTTTCGGTTATAACTGTAACAAATAAAATAGAATCAAAACAAGTAGTATAAATATGTAAGTGTGATGGATGGATAAGAGAAGAAGAGAGGCTGCCAAAAAAAAAAAAAAAAGAGATATTTTATAATGTGGCTTCTAATTTTCTGTTCATCATAGAACCAAGAGAACACGAGAAACCAACATCTCTCTCGTTCCTCTCCGGAGCTCACTGAAAAAGATAATCAAGAAGCTCCGAAAACCAGAAGATTTAATCCCTTTTGAAGAAGATGAGAACGCGCGTGAAAGACACGTGATTCATTGTATTAACTCAGCTATGAACCTCTGTTTCCAGCAGAAGCTTTCTATACCCTAGAATAAGCTGCAACGTTGACTTTTTCTTCCTTACTTGAAGACTTCTCCCCAACGTCCTCTTCTTTGTAACTTTCAAAGATCTTCCTATTGAATCATATCCAACACCTTGCGTGAAAAATCATAACAAAGTTTCAATTTTTGTGAATTTCACCATCTTGAGTCATTAAAGGATAATCTGAGGAGCTGAGATTGATGAACCAATCCTAATCAGCTTCTTCCCTGAGCAAAATCACCGCGGCGTGAAGCCTATTTGCGACCATCGTAGGTCCACGAGATTAGCCTTCTCAATCATATGAACATTGTCGAATCTTCCATAATTTTATGTTACCGTTAATTGAGGGTTTGACTCTATAGTATTAATATTTTAGAATTGTTTTTCTTGATCAAAACGGCGTAGTTTTGGATTCCGTCAAAATAATTAACTGAAATGTTAGTGTCGATGTCGACATTATACGAAAATCTTATATTACAGGTGACTTTTAAATTTATAGAATTCACTTGCATTTTTTTTAAACTAAAGATTTATCTTGCAATAATAATTTAGTATGAGAGTTTTTTGCAGTAATCTCTATTACAAATCATCACTTATGCGTATGCTTGCTATAATTCTGTGGGTGTCTCAATTTAGTTAGCAATGCCCATAATTCACAAAGAAAGTAAATTTTAAACAAACTAATTCCCAAACACATATTGTTACCGTTAATACAGGACATTATTTTGCTAATGAACTTGAAAGGTGTGAGCAAACCTTTGCTGAATAATAGTAAAACAAGTTCAATTTCAGCTAATATGTCAGGTGAACATGAAACTTATGCACATATCTTTAACATGAAAGTTCTATGGATAGTTTGAAACTGATCTATCCGTGTTTGAAAAAACGATAACAAAAATGTTGATTTTCTTTGTAGATGATGTATTCAATTTTCCTAGAAAATTTTCCAATTATGCAAATTACATCCGTGAACAAAACCACGTGCAGAAATTGATAATTGTGATTCCAACAACCAAATTTAATTTGGTCAGCTGATCAAGTGCCAAGTATAATTGATTTTTTGTTGTAAGTGTTTGTCCTCTACTTCTTCATTGTGTCGTTTTGGCTTAAGATATAGTATCATTAATTTTAGGGATAAAGAGATAGAAAGCTAAGTGTTGGGATTTAATTAGAAAAACAGCAAGAGGCAAATGAACTAGAATGAACTAGTTAAAAGGTGACAAACAGTGATTTGTAGAATTGCTTATTTACGTCTGATGCCATTGCATGCACGTGGGGGAGCGAAGGAATGAAGTAGGTGATGAAGAGTATTAATTGGGTAATAGCACATCTGTGGACATTTATGGTATGAATTTAGGCTGACTTTGAACTTCGTAGTAAATGAGGAGACAGGAAATATTCGCCGCCACCATTTTCATTTTCTTCTAACACTGTTTTCATCTTTTCTCTGCCACCAATTTTTTGATTCTCTTTCCCAACAATTTCTTGATTATATATGTATTCTCTCTCTTGACCTTCCTTTCCAAATCTATTGACTTTCCTCTCCAGATTTCAACAGTTTAGCAGATCTGATGAAATTCCGAAAGTACTATGGTTACAGCTAAAGAATCTAGCCCAACTTAATCTCTTATCAAACGAATTCTTTGATTTGATGCTTAAATTTTTTGGAGATCTTGGATTCATCTTCTGTACTCTCAATAATTCAAACAAAATCTTATATCTGCAAACCAGATCTTCAAATGCATATATGCACATCCGTTCTGATTTCTAGTCATCCATTACTCTAGTTAGACTCTAATGGTCAACTAGATAAGCTTTGGGATCTCGACTCTTCCGGACAAGTAACTTTATTATAAACCCGGGTAGCCATGTATCTTATGTTATAAATCTCCATCAATGTAATCAGATACCCAAAAATATGGATGTCTAAGTTTGAGCGTGTGGCCTTATAAATTAGTATGTGGGTGTTCTTTTGTAGGTGGCTGTGACCTTAATAATCGAAAGCGAATTCGATGCCAGTCACGAATTCAATGATCAGTCTTTCAGCTTATGAAATAGTGGATTCCCGGTTTCGTAAGCCTAACGAGATCTTGTCCCGTGTTGTGAACGGCAACAGGAGAAGTCGGGTCACAAGATAAAAACTCAAGATCACCGCTGATTTCTAAGACGTCGTTGACTTCGTTGTCGTAGTAGAGAGAAGATTGTCTCCCACATGAAACTGTTTCTCCTCGCTCCACTTGTTATAGAAGTCGCTCTCTTCAGGAACCCTCCATTCTTTGGAGTCACCAACGTTGTAGGTTTTTCCAAAAGGAAAGATCTTTCTCGGTGGTGGTGGTGGAACCGGATGCGACGGGTCATGGACGACAAGAATGTTGAGTCTTTGCCCGGATAGACATTGAGTAGGATTTGAGCTGATGAAGTAGTAAGAACCTGGTTCCGTGAGAGTCACGACATCGTGTCCTGTCTTGTATACGGCTTTAGGAGAGGAACAGTCGCAGAAATTGTATTCCAAAGCACCAGAGACTTGAGTCACATCGTTGTACTTGCGATCGTATTTGAAGATGAGAGAATCGCCCACGTGGAACTCCTTAAGCTTAGCCCAATCAGAATAGGCGTCGTCCTTCGCCGTCCATCCCTCGGAGTCTCCGACTTTGTAGATTTTCGCCGAGCAACAACATCCCATTAGAACCGTGAAGAGCATCATCACGAGCATGAGGCACAAGTTTCTTGTTGTTGTTGTCGTCATTATCGATAGAAGACAGATTTAAGAAAAACTTGATAAATCGCAAAATCAGATAGCGTTGTTGAGTATGTGAATAAGAAAAATAGACTACCCTAAGGCTTTATTTATAAGTTTTTACGGAACCTAATTCTACTAGTTTTAGAATTTCACTTAGTAGTTTATCATGATTACCTGATTATTTTATTCGCGTTTCTAATATACATATATTTCCTTTTACAATTTAGATTCACATCTTATTTTGCAAAAACAAAAACAAAAAAACAATGTTGAAAGATCTCTCCAATCCTTTTCTGAGTTTTCTGATCAGACTTATGTATGGTTTTAGTTTTTCTAATTTCATCAAAAATCTTATCCTATACAGAGTATTATTTTCCATTGTTCACAATGATAATTTGATATCTAATTTTCTGTTTAGAACTACATACACTTCTTATCCAGTTATATCTTTATTAATAATCTGGGAGTTTGATTTCTAAAAATGCAAAAACCAACCAAGTAATCACGCAAAGATGTGATACATGTTCCTCATACTTTTTATATTTGCTTTTTTCTCCCTTTTCTTTAAAAAAATAAAATAAAATGTTCAGAGAAGCTAATAATAATATTTCAAATCACCACCTATGCGCATGCTTGCTATAGTGCTTTACGTGTCTCATTTTACTTAGCAATGCGTATAATGCGCAAAGCAACTGAAAGTTTCAACAACCTTAAAAGAGGAAATAGTTCCGGGAGAGAGGGACCGAAGTGGCTGGTGCACACGCAAGTATCTCACCGTCTGCTGTGACAACATATGTCTCTGGGTCCACGGTGATGTTCGGAAGCGCATCATTCAGCTTCATGTCGAGTTTCGTGAGCCCCCTCACGTTCGATACTGCTACAACCTTCTTCTTGAGTCCATATACTTCTTTAACCCCGTTTCTCAAGGCAGCCTGGGTTAGGTAAGAACAAAGAAACTAACTTTTGTGTTAATTGAATAAGTAGAAGAAATTAAGAAAGGAAGATATGTATCTTATATATTAGGTATATATATATATATATATTTTTCATTTCTAACCATATTTTCATTCATTATTTTAATTTTAATTTAATGTAAAATATATTTATTAATTAACAAACATTTCTGATGAAAAAATGTGATTTTTGAGGTAGTGCGGTTTTAATGGAAAACGCGATTTTAAAGTTTTGGAAAAATATCTTGATATTGCGGTTTTGAAAAAAAAATTTGATTTTAGAATTTTGGCGAGAAAAAATTGGTTTTGATGGAAAATGTGAGTTCATAAATTTTGGTAGGAAAATGTGATTTTGCGATTTTGGTGGAAAAATGTAATTTCATGATCTTGGCGGAAAAACATGATTTTAAGATTTTGGCGGGAAATTAAATTATGTGGTTTTAGCGAAAAAACACGATTTCACAGCTTTGACAGGAAAACATGGTTTTACAGTTTTGCTAGAAAACCTTTACTTTTGCAGTTTTGGTAAAAAGCCATGATTTCACGGTTTTAACGAAAAAAACATTGGTGAGGAAACGTAATTTTGCGATTTTAGCAGAAAAATACGATTTTACAGTTTTGAAGAAAAAATGAAATTTTTTAGTTTTGACGAGAAAATACGATTTTTCAATTTTGACGGTAAAACACATTTTGATGATTTTTGTAGGAAAATAAGTTTTAATTGTTTTGGTAGAAAACCGTAATTTTACAGTTTTAATGAAAAGTTTTAATTTTGGTAGAAAAATGTGATTTCCATTTTGGTAGGAAAACATATTTTTGCAGTTTTGACGGGAAATGAGATTTTGTACTTTTGATAGAAAACATGATTTTACGGTTTTGGTGAGAAGATGCGATTTTGTAATTTTAGTTGAAAAACACGATTTTGTGTTGTTGGTGGGAAAATGAAATTTTGTAATATTGGCGAAAAAACATGATTTCCCGATTTGGTGAAAAAACGTAATTTTTCAATTTTGGTAAAAAATCATGATTTGTCACATTTTTGTAGTTTAACAGTTTTGGCGGGAAAACACATTTTGCAGTTTTGACAAACAAAAAAAACCTCAATTTTGTTTTTTTTTTTTTTCTGTAAATACGGTTTTATGATTTCTGAGAGAAAAACGATTTTGCGGTTTTGATGAAAAATATATATTTTTGTGAGTTTTCATTTATTTCCGGGATTCTATTAGCAGCTATGAATAGTAGTAGTGTTGTGATGTTTTGCATTTGTTAGTTCTTGTGTGTTATCAGTTATGAATAGTAACATGTTGAGTTGTGTGTTATGATGTTTTGCATTCGTTACCCAAAATCATGTCTTTTTTCATGAATCTACTAAAAAAGGAAACATCTTTAACCAATTCATATCTTGTATTCATTTTGGTAGCTAGCTAAAAAGATAATCATAGGAACTGAAATTAATATTACAACAAATGCAGGATGTGAATTTTGAGTTGTGTTCATAATGTATTGACAATCTGTGATTCTGTTCATAGTCGTTTTAAGAGTAGTATCAGGACAAGAATCGACTAAGTTGCACGTTTAATGTTTGATTAAGGACTAATATTATGATGGAAAAACAGGGAATAACCCAGAAGAGGACCACTTTATGATGGAATTGGGGATAAAGAGCCGTTAGGAACTTAGGACCAGTATGGAACTACCTATGGATGACCTTCAAAGAGTATACTCATCCGCAACCATGGACAATGGTTAGGTAAGGGGGAATTGGATTTCCCTTAGCCGTTGCATCGAGCCACACTTACCAAGAAGCTAAAGAGAATTGAGCCTAACTCTGCTCTTTGTTTGTCTTTTCTTTTTCATCAACAAGCTAAACATCAAATGTCTCCTCCTCTTTTGTACGGAAGAACCTCCTCAAGTGTTCATCCACAGGTTTTCAAGTAATGGTCATCTCAGGTTAATCAGGCTTCAATCATTTATTTTCTAGCTAGATTTGTTTGATTGAGTGTGTGTATATCTTGTTGCAACATCCGATTGTGTTCTCTTATCAAAAAGGTCAGCTTGTTAACTCTTGCAATAAATTCAACACCTTTCAAAGGTTACTTGCTACACTTCAATGATTTGGCATCTCTACCAGAATTAATCAGATATTGATAGACAAATGAGTGCCCTTACAGCTGAATAAAAGAAAAAAGTTGGATCATCTACTCTGTTGGATTTTGGAATGATATAGATTTTTCACTTTGAATCAAAGACTTAGTAACTTATACTTTTACTGTTGGAAAATCGATTCAAAATCCATGTTGAAATACAAGAAACCACAATCTTGATTCTATCAAAAGTAACTTTCGGGGACAAATATGTTTTTATTTAATTCCAAGTGGTGTGATGCGTCTCAAATGAAGTCATCTCTACTAGTTTGGATGATAAGATCAAACTATGGGATACACTACAAGGAGAAAGTCTTGTGTTTTCGACTGATGCTGGTGCAGCAGTGAGATGCATCACTGTTTCTGAAAACAGCTTAGTAATCTGCGTTGAAGCATCAATGCATATATATGAAATACATGATTGATCCTCTGGTTCACTCATTCTTCTTGTCACAGTGGCTCAGGGACTTTTTTGACTGGTGATAACGAAGGCTACGTTATCTCATGGAATGCGAAAAGCATAAGAAGGCTCTTTGAGGGATTAAACGTACCAAACATGACTTGTTCTCTAAAATACTGTTCTTGGCTTTCTTCTCCTATATAATCTTTTTGTGTTTCTTTACAGAAGTTCCCAATTTACTTTTGTTGTTAGAAGTGTTTGACCCGTGCGGTCTCTTTACTCTGTCGTTTTGGCTTAAGATATCATATTATTGTAGCTCTAAACTTTGTTTCATACGGGTAATACCTTATCCTAATCTGATCATGTGTTTATTTTTCAGGCCATAATTAATAACTTTGGCTTAAGTAAATACGAAATTTTATTGAATATGCTGGAATCAAACAACTCTACAAATTTAGAAATGAAAAAACTATATTCGAATAAAAAAAAAACTATAGAAGTTAAACAAGACAAAGAGAACTCTAATAGTCTCAAACACAAATAGAAACGAATGCTTAGTGATGTGGTCGGGGTCTGAAGGTCTGTAACCACTTGATGAGACGGTCCAAAGGTGACAACTTCATCATCTTCCTCGGAACATAAGCTTTGGGTAGTGGTCCCACAACCACTCGAAGCTTAAGCCCAGCCTCACAAGGATCAGTCTTTGAGCTTATGAAATAGTGGATTCCCGGTTTTGTGAGCCTAACGAGATCTTGTCCCGTGTTGTGAACGGCAACAGGAGAAGTCGGGTCGCAAGATAAGAACTCAAGATCACCACTGATTTGTAAGACGTCGTCGACTTCGTTGTCGTAGTAGAAGAGAAGATTGTCTCCCACATGAAACTGTTTCTCCTCGCTCCACTTGTTATAGAAGTCGCTCTCTTCAGGAACCGTCCATTCTTTGGAGTCACCGACGCTGTAGGTCTTTCCAAAAGGAAATATCTTTCTCGGTGGTGGTGGAGGAATCGGATGTGATGGGTCATGGACGACAAGAATGTCGAGTCTTTGTCCGGATAGGCATTGAGTAGGATTTGAGCTGATGAAATAGTAAGAACCTGGTTCCGTGAGAGTCACGACATCGTGTCCTGTCTTGTATACGGCTTTAGGAGAGGAAGTGTCGCAGAATTTGTATTCCAAAGCACCAGAGACTTGAGTCACATCGTTGTACTTGCGATCATATTTGAAGATGAGAGAATCGCCCACATGGAATTCCTTAAGCTTAGCCCAATCAGAATAGGCGTCGTCCTTCGCCGTCCATCCCTCGGAGTCTCCGACTTTGTAGATTTTCGCCGAGCAACAACATCCCATTAGAACCGTGAAGAGCATCATCACGAGCATGAGGCACAAGTTTCTTGTTGTTGTTGTCGTCATTATCGATCGGATGAAACAAAATCAAAAAGATGATCAAATAAGATAAATTTAAGAAGAAGTTGATGAATGAGAGAGCGTTGATGAGTATGTGAATGAGAAAAGAAGAGACGACCCTAACTATCTTTTTATAAGTTTCTGTGGAACCTAATCCTTCTCATTTTAGGATTTACTTAATACTTTATTAAGATTCGTTGATTCTTTAATCTGTGTTTGGGGAAGAATATTTGTTTCCTCTTTCAATCTAGATTCACGTCTTATTCTCCTAAAACAAAATAAAAAGTTTAAAAATCTCTCTAATCCTTTTCTGATCATGCTTGTGTATATAGTTTCTAGTTTTTCTAATTAATTTCATCAAAAATCTTATTTTCTATTTTTTCTTCTTTTTTTCTCACAATGATAATTTTTGGTATTGAGTTTCCTTTTTGGAACTAAAAATCCAATTATTAAACCTTAAATCTTAAACCAGCCAATTTCTCTAAAAGAGTTCTTCTCTCTCTTCTCTCTCTCGTATATTTGAGAGAGGGAGAGCGATAGTTTGTTTTTGTTTTGATTTCGTAGATCGGATTATAAGATCTGGTTCTTCCAGATTTCTTTGTTTATATTTCTTCCGATCAATTTCGGAAATTAACTTTTGGCTTTGTCCGACTTTTGTTTCCGTTTATCAGAATATCTCATTTGCATTTGCATGTTTTCAATTTTATCTCATCCCCTATACATTATTTGAGAAGTAGAATTAGTAAAAATTGCTGATGTGTCACACTCACAATCAAAGTTAGTGTATTGTATTGATGACATGTAAATGTGACATGTCAAAATTCCTAAAATAAACGAAATGTTTTGATTGGTTGAATTAAAATTAAAGAAATTTGAAATTAAACATAACTACACTAGATTATAAATAATTTTAAAGTAACAAAAAAGATAATTATTATGATTAATTTTTTACATATTCATAATTAGATAAAGTATTAGTACGAAAATTTTACAATACATATACATATTTATACATTATAATTTCATATTAAAAGAAAAATATATAATATTAGATTATTCAATAAAATAGTAAATATTATATATATTAATAATGTTTAAAGTATGATATATTCTTATTTTGGAAAGTTATTAATTTATGAAAATTTATAATAATAACATCTAAAATGTTTAAATTAGATACATTATTAAATAGTAGAATTTAAAATAAAATAGAATCATGATACAATAATTTAAAGAATAAAAATATTTAAAAATAATAAAATAATAATTAACTATTTATTGAAAGTTTAAAAAGTAACATAACTTAAAATAATTTGTTTGTTCGAACCATTACTTATTATGGAAAATGAATAAAGTATATACTAATTATTACTATTTTATAGTATTAATATGACCATATATTTGTATATAATTTTAACATTTTTTATACTGATGTTTTTTTAAATTTACATAGTTTTTATTACCATCTCATTTTCTCTCTTATCATATTTTACATATCGAGAATTTAATATCATAAATAAAATAAAAATAATTGAATGAAAGAATAAATGATAATAAAATGAAAAAAATATAAATAAAAAGTATAAACAAACATAAATCTTTACAGTTTTAGTTATTCGTAAAAATATTGCAGTTTGTTTGACAAAGTTATTTAAAAAATCTTAAAAAGACACATTATTTTTAATGAACATATGTGTATACCAAATTTTATAATACACACTTGCTTTTATAAAAATATGATTTCACAAATTTCATAACAAATTCTTATCATAATTTTTATTGAAAAGGAAAATTACTAATGGATTATCTAATGTACTATATTTATCTTCATGGTAAAGTAAAATCTTATATTTTATTTTTTTAGAGTTTTTTATAATTTTTGTTAATATTTAATTTAATTTTTAATTTGAAATTATATATCACAAAATGCAGAAAAATAATTTACCAAAAACAAAAATCACTGAAAAATAATAAATTTTGATTTGATACTAAACGATAGAAATGATTTTCGTGATTGTTGATAAAAGCCGAAAACTATATTGTGTAAAAACATAACGTTTACGGAAAATATCAGAAAAACTAACCAACACCTAAATATTACAATTTATTTATTTCTAGCTTATACTTACATACATATATATACATATTTATTTCTTTTATAAAATTTAATCATAATATATTATAAATATATATGTATATATATATATATATATTATAAAACATATGCATTGCTATTTTCTTTTAACATATTAAAGTTATACTCGTTTTTTCCACAAATATGCATATGAATATAAATATTAATTATATAAAAGTCAAAGTTTCATACGAATTTGTCGTCCATAAAATTTGTTAACCTCAATTACAGTGCAACCATCCATCCGCTCTTAAGATAAGTAAAAATGATAAAACTCAATTTAATTTAATTAATAATAGATAAAAAAAAATATTATGTATAAATAGAATATTATCAATATACAATATTAATCATATATTAAACAAATAAATTATTTTATAATTCGTACACGGTGCGGACCAATCACTTAGTGTAAATTTGAAGAAACCCTCTCTGTTGGATATGCTGGATCTTCTCCCGAAAGAGCAAATCCTTCACTTTTATATTGATAGATCTAGGAGATCGTAAAGTGGAGGTTTCTTTTAGAGGAGTAGAATCGAGAGTTTGAGAGTTAACTTGGTTGATTTCGATAAGGATCTGTAGAACTGGCGCTTTTCAGACATAGTTCTCAGCAGTGGTCCAGCAAATATTCTACTCCCTTCATCTCTGGTTGCTTTTGCTCTGATCTCTAACGGATATAAAGGAAGTTTTTTCATCTTTTAATAGCGACTATATGCAAAAAGAAAGAGCAGCAATTATGGATCTAAGCAGTTTCGCAGTGTTTACAGTTTAGTCTGTGTCAGTGGTGGAAGACTCCGATGGTGGTCGCGGCGCTGCAAAAGTCTCTTCGATTGCTTTTTTTTGCTTTATTTTATTTACACGTATTGTACACGTGTTGATGGCATGTATTTAAGTTTTCACTTTAACCCAAATGAATTGTAAGCTGCTCTGTTTTTAATGAGCTTTAATATTATTCGCAGACGAAAAAAAAAGAAAAAAAAACTACTTAAATCTTTTTCCCCTTATAGTAGTTAATTATGCAGCCCAAGTCAATACATACTATTGGATTCTATTGATGAATAAGCCCATTGCATTTTAGCCCAGTCGATCTTAAATAGGTTGAGATATTCACTGAATTTATATTGAAAATTTGGTCTAAGAATTTATAGGTATCCATTGAAACACACCCATGACTCTCTTTGAGATCTTATATGCAAGACCTAAAAGAACCTTGGTAGCCACGGAAGTAGAGCTGCCACCGCCGCAGAAAAGAAGGAAGAAGAAGAAGAAGAATAAGAAGAAGCAGAATACTACAACAAATCCCCCTCCTCCTCCTACGTCGTTTACATCACTTCCAGATGAAATCATTGTGAATTGTTTAGCTCGCATCTCCAGGACTCACTACCGTTTTCTCTCCTTAGTCTCCAAGACCATCCGCTCTCTCCTCTCTTCCCCTGAGCTTTACGCGGTTCGCTCCGAGATTGGAAACACCGAGCCTTGCCTCTACATATTCTCAAAGACACACACTAATTATTATCGGTGGTACACTCTTGCTCAAACCCTAATTACCAAAGGGACGATTGAGGATGAGTCCAGCTTATCACCTATCATAGCACCCACTTCCTCTGCACCTCCTCCACCAAAGAATTCGACAACTTTAGCCGTCGGTTTTGAAATCTACCAAATGGGCGGAACCATCAACGACGAGGAGCGGCCTTCCTCAGCCGTTCGTGTGCTTGATTGTCTGACTCACACATGGCGTGATGCACCTGATATGACGGTACCAAGAAAAGGCGCCCAGTCTGCTTTTATAGATGGAAAGATATATGTAGAGATGGAAAGATATATGTAGTTGGAGGAACAGAGGAATCCAAGAATCGTGCTGAAGTTTTTGACCTAAAGTCACAGACTTGGCTATTGCCTAGCCTTAGTCGTGATAAGAAGTATGCATATGATCCCAAACAAGAAAGATGGAAGGAACTTGTAGAGTTTTGTTTTGGTCCAGGAGATGCGAGCGGACCTTGGTGCGTTATAGAAGACGTAAAGTATAGTGTCTTTTGGCGTGAGCTTAAGTGGTATGACTCAGAGCGTAGAAAGTGGTTCGATGTTAAGGGTTTGGATCATAAGGGTGGTACAACAATGCAGTTAGCCAACCATGGTGGACAACTCCTACTTCTAAGGGACAGATGTTCATGGATTCCGGTGGCGACGACGAGGGGCCTTAGCTGCAATGAACTAATTTTGGGAAGTAGAAGGAGGGTTTTGTGTGATGTGATTAAGTTGGAGAAGCACATTGGCTTTTCTGGATTAGAGATTTCTGGGGAGATTGTATGTACGAATGTTGTGCTAACAGTACCCTCGACCTATTTATATATGTTTTCAAGTTGTATCGTCACCCTTTGATTAATTTGCTTAATTTCATTTTATTTTGTTTTGTTTTTTTAGCAGACGAGTTCTGAAACTTCATCTTCATTTTCATTTTATATGCTTAAGTTTGTATGTAGCACAACAGTTTACTGAGAAAACTGATTCTTTATTAAATGGATGGTTTGTGTTTTTATAGTGAATTAAGGATATGTCATAAGACTTGTATTGATCAATGAGTAGATAATGTTGTAAACGTTGGTGAATAGAAAAACAAGTTAAATTCAATTTCCGCTAATGTCGTGTGAACATGAAACTTATGCAGATCCCTTTAACGATGCAAAGTTCCAAACCTATGTATAGTTTCAAACTCCGTGCTTGAAAAAATCGATGACAAAAATATTGATGTTTTTTTAGAATAATGTATTTAGTTTTCCTAGAATTTTTTCCAAGTCACGCATGCAATTTACATCCGAGAACACAAAACCACAACAGAAATTGATAATTGTCATGCAAACAACCAAAACACTATGACCTAATTTAATTTGATTCAAGTGCCAAGTATAAGTTATCTTTGTTGTTTTGGCCTGTGTGATGTCTCTACCACATTTAAGTTGATCAAGTGCCAAGTATAATTTACTTTTGTTGTTGGAAGTGTTTGACCCGTGTGGTCTCTTTACTCTGTCGTTTTAGCTCAAGATATCATATTATTGTAAGCTTTAAACTTTGTTTCAGACCATAATATCTTATTCTAATCTGATCATGTGTTTATTTTTCAGGCCATAATTAATAACTTTGGCTTAAGTAATACGAAATTTTATTGAATACGCTGGAATCAAATCAACTCTACAAATATGGAAATGAAAAAACTATATTCGAATAAATAAAAACTAAAGAAAGTTAAACAAGAGAGAGAACTCTAATCGGCTAGTCTCAAACGCTAATAGAAACGAATGTCTAGTGATGTGGTCGGGGTCTGAAGGTCTGTAACCACTTGATGAGACGATCCAGAGGTGACAACTTCATCATCTTCCTCGGAACAGCAGCTTTTGGAAGTGGTCCCACCACCACTCGAAGCTTAAGCCCAGCCTCACAATGACCAGTCTTTGAGCTGATAAAATAGTGGATACCCGGTTTTGTGAGCCTAACGAGATCTTGTCCCGTGTTGTGCACGGAAACAGGAGAAGTCGGGTCGCAAGATAAGAATTCAAGACCACCGCTGATTTCTAAGACGTCGTCGACTTCGTTGTCGTAGTAGAAGAGAAGATTGTCTCCCACATGAAACTGTTTCTCCTCGCCCCACTTGTTATAGAAGTCGCTCTCTTCAGGAACCCTCCATTCTTTGGAATCACCGACGTTGTAGGTCTTTCCAAAAGGAAATATCTTTCTTGGTGGTGGTGGTGGTGGAAGAATCAGATGTGACCGGTCATGGACGACAAGAATGTCGAGTTTTTGTCCGGATAGGCACTGAGTATGATTTGAGCTCATGAAGTAGTAAAAACCTGGTCCTGTGAGAGTCACGACATCGTATCCTGTCTTGTAGACGGCTTTAGGAGAAGAAGAGTCGCAGAATTCATATTCCAAAGCACCAAAGACTTGAGTCACGTCGTTGTAGTTGCGATCATATTTGAAGATGAGAGAATCACCGACGTGGAACTCCTTAAGCTTAGACAATCAGAATAGGTGTCGTCCCTCGCCGTCCACCCCTCGGAGTCTCCGACTTTGTAGATTCTTGCCGAGCTACAGCATCCCATTAGAGCCGTGAAACTCATCATCAAGAGCACGAAGCAGAAAGTTCTTGTTGTTGTTGTCGTCATTATCGATTGAAGAGGAAGAAAAGAAAATCGCAAAGATGATCGAAGAGTAAAAGATTAAGAAGAGGTTGATGAATCAGAGTGCGTTGTGAATGAGAAAAAAATAGACGATCCTACGTCTCTTTTTATAAGTTTCTACCGAACCTAGTCTTTTTGGCTTCAGGAATTGGTAATTATTTAAGATTAATTGATTACCAACGTTTAAAATACTAGAAAACATTGTGTGTTCCTTTTCCAATTTAGATTCCACATCTTATATTGCAAAACTGAAAATATCTCTAATCCTTTTCTAATTCGGTTTGTGTATGATTTTGTAGTTTTTATAATTAAATCCAAAATCATATCCTATATTATTATTGTTTGAAATTGTTTACAGTGATCATTTGATATCTGTTTAACTATTTTCCTTTTAGGAACTAAATACATCTCATCTCGTAACTAGTTCTTTGATAATTTTAGAATATATCTTCTAAAAATACAAAAATTCACTAAAGTAATCACGAGCAAAGAGATTAACATGCCACATGTGTAAGATCAAAATGTACAAACAAATTTTTAAATATGATTTTAAAATAACTTAATTAATTTTATGTGTATAAAATACATGTGAGTAACAATAAGATTTGTTAATAAAATTTTATAAATTATTTTAATATTATTTTTTATATAAAAGAATTAAAGCACAAACCAATAATATTACAAATACTCAACTTTACTTCCTAATAATTATTTTTTAATGATCAGAATCCTATTATTACCCCACAAGTACACGACTTATTGTTCTGTCGTGGATTCTCTTGTGGCTTGCCAAACAAGTAACAACATGATAAGTCGGATAATCTCTTTCACCACATTTCCATTCCAATTTATATTTGCTTGTATCACCTTTAAAATATAAACAAATTGTTCAGCTAATAATATTACATATCATCACTTATGCGTATGCTTGCTATAGTTCTGTGGGTGTCTCAATTTAGTTAGAAATGCCTATATAGTGCCCAAAGCAAGTGAAATTTTAAACAAACTGATTCCCAAACACATTGTTACCGTTAATACAGGACATTATTTTGCTAATGAACTTGAAAGGTGTGAGCAAACATTTGGTGATAAATAGAAAAATGATAACAAAAAGGTTGATGTTCTTTTTAGATGATATATTCATTTTTTCCTCGGAATATTTTCCAAGTATGCAAATTACATCCGTAAACTAAACAACGTGCATAAATTGATAATTGTGATTCCTACAACCAGATTTAATTTGAGCAAGTGCCAAGTATGATTTTTTGTTCCCCTTAAGTGTTTGTCCTCTACTTCTTCATTGTGTCGTTTTGGCTTAAGATATATCATCAATTTTATTATTGTAGCTTTCAACTTTGTTTCAGACCGTAATTTATATCTTAATGTAATCTGAAAATATGGTTCTTTTTCACAACACTTATGTTTAATGAGGAAACATGAAAATTTATTGAATATGTTCGAATCAAATCAACTCGTACAACGATAGAAATTAAAAAAAAAAAACTATATTCGAAACAAAAAAACTAAAGAAGTTAAACAAGAGAGAGAACTCGAATTAGCTAATCTCAAACGCAAATAGAAACGAATGCTTAGTGATGTGGTCGGGGTCTGAAGGTCTGTAACCACTTGATGAGACGGTCCAAAGGTGACAACTTCATCATCTTCCTCGGAACATAAGCTTTAGGCAGAGGTCCCACAACCACTTGAAGCTTAAGCCCAGCCTCACAATGATCAGTCTTTGAGCTTATGAAATAGTTGATTCCCGGTTTCGTGAGCCTAACGAGATCTTGTCCCGTATTGTGCACGGCAACAACAGAAGTCGGGTCGCAAGATAAGAACTCAAGATCACCGCTGATTTCTAAGACGTTGTTGACTCCGTTGTCGTAGTAGAAGAGAAGATTGTCTCCCACGTGAAACTGTTTCTCCTCACTCTATTGAAGTTAAACTTAATTTTGAGTTAAGCTTAATTTTAGGTTTATAAAATAATTATTAGTTATTAGATTATGACTAAAATTAAGCTCAAGTTCTAGAATCTCTAGAAACATCACTAAAAATCATCATCTTCTTAAGTGTTCTAGAGAATTCTATTAGTTAAATATCTAGATAATTCTATATATTGTAGTTAAAAATCTAGTTATTGTTGTAGAGAATTCTAGAGATTAAGAGAATGTTTGTAAGATATTTTGTAATAAGTGGAGCCTATAAATAGCCCATTACTCTATCATTTGTAAACAATGAGAAGTTGAACAAATAAAGAAAGAGTGTTCTTCATAAGTTTTCTTATTCTCTCTAAAGTTCTTTCAAGTTTTCTCTAAGTGTTCTCTCATCCTTTTATTCATACTTAGAGGGTCTTTGTTTCTTTCGGGTATTACGGTCTTGGGCTAGTGCTAAGCACTATCGGTTTTTTCTTTACATGGTATCAGAGCCATTCTGATCTGGTTCTTTTCAAGATCGAATTAATTGAGATCTCGGATTTATTCTAAGTATGGAGTCAATGGGTCGCGTTGTTGGATTGGGAGTGGAGATTCTAAACCAATCTAATTATCGGTTATGGAAGTCATGCATGGAGTCATACTTGGTGAGTGAGGACTTATGGGATGTCGTCGGCGGCAGTAGCACAACACCACCAAGGGGAGCTGCTGCGACAGCGGAAGCGACAAAGGAGTGGACACGAAAGAATGCCAAGGCGGAGTTTGCATTGAAGAGGTCAATATCCTCGGGAGTCTTTGAGCATGTCTCAAGTTGCACATCCGCTAGTTCCATTTGGCGGGCGTTAGATCAGTTGTTCAACAAGAAGAATGAAGCTCAGCTACAACTGTTAGAGAACGAGCTGGCAAATGCAAAGCAGGGGAAGACTTCAATCTCAGAGTTTTTCATCAAGATAAAGAATATTTGCTCTGAGATTAATACTCTAAATCCAGAGGAGTCAATTTCGGAAGCACGTTTGAAACAGTATATTATTCGAGGTCTACGACCTGAGTATACACCGTTTGTGACTTCGGTTCAAGGATGGGCTACACAACCTTCCTTGGAGGAGTTCGAGAACCTGCTAGCTTCGCAAGAGTCATTAGCTACGCAAATGGCAGGAGTCAAAATCCATGATGACTCGGGGAGCGCCTTTGTAGCTCGGAAGCAACAGAACTTCAAAGCCAAATCCAAGTACGATGGTACAAAGAACATCGATAGACCGGAAGGATCTTCTACAAGAGATAAGAAGCGATTCAAGTGCTACCGGTGTGGAAAGCTTGGGCACTTCAAAAAGGATTGTCGAGTCAAGCTGAAGGAGACAAATATGGCAGAATCAAAAGGTCATATTGAAGACGAAGAATGGGGGAAATGCTTCACGGTGGAGGCTGCATCTTCAGGTATATCCACAATTAAAAATCTTGGAAATGATTGGATTGTGGATTCGGGTTGTAACCACCATATTACCGGAGACGAGAAGTTATTTTCTAGTCTTCAGTGCCATGACGGAAAAGAAGCCATAATTACCGCGGATAATTCAGTTCACCGGGTCGAGAAGGAAGGGACTGTTGTCATTGAAGGAGATGATGGAAGCCCTATCACTCTCAAGAATGTATGCCATGTCCCTGGAGTAAGGAATAATCTTCTCTCTGTGGTGAATGCAGTAGACTCAGGTAACTACGTTTTATTTGGCCCAAGAGACGTCAAATTCTTGAAGAATATTAAAGAGTTAAAGGCGGATGTGGTTCACACCGGATCGCGGGTTAAGGATCTATATGTCTTATCTGCGTCCAACTCATACGTGGAGAAGATGAGTACAAACGACAATGCCTCTATATGGCATGCTCAGCTTGGTCATATAAACATGACTAAGCTAAAGGTTATGGTGAATAAGGAGTTGGTAAATGGGCTTTCGAAGCTGAAGATCCAAGATGAAGGAAAGCTTTGTGAAGGTTGTCAATATGGAAAATCACATAGACTTCCATTTGAAAATTTTACTTGACGGTGCAGTGCTCCGTTGAAGAGGATCTATAGAGATTTGATGGGTCCTACAAGGACACCCTCATATTCTGGGTTTCGGTACTTGCTGTTGTTCATTGATGACTTCTCACGGCACACTTGGGTATACTTTGTGAAGGAAAAATCAGAAGTATTCTTCAAGTTTCAAGAATTCAAGGTTACCGTGGAAGGGGAGTTGGGTCGGAGAATCAAGACCTTAAGGACAGATAATGGAGGGGAGTTCATGTCCAAGGAGTTTCTCTCTTTTTGTCAAAAGCATGGAATAAAGAGAGAGTTTACTTGTCCGTATACATCTCAACAAAATGGAGTAGCGGAAAGGAAGATTGGACATCTAACTGAGACGTGCAGAAGCTGGCTATATGGGAAGGATCTGCCTAAGGCCTTGTGGGCAGAAGGCATGAGATGCGCAGTGTACGTCATAAATCAGATGCCACTCAGCCCAAATAACATGAAGTCTCCATATGAGATGATTCATGGGAAGAAGCCGCCAGTGAAACATCTCAGGATATTTGGATCAGTCTGCTACATCCATGTGTTTAATTCTCAAAGAACCAAGTTAGAGGCAAAGGCAAAGAAGTGCATCTTTGTTGGCTATGACGAACAAAGAAAAGGGTGGAGGTGTATGGATCCAGAGATACACAGGTACGTAGTGTCTCGAGATGTTGTTTTTGATGAAGTTTTCTCATTCTATGGGCCACCTCAAGTCTTAGTTGAGCAAGAAGGTGGGAGTTCCTCCAAGAGTGATAAACCAGCTCTGAGTAAGGACAGACGTCCTGAAGAAGAGATGCAAGGTGAAAAGGGGAGCACTGATCAAGAGGAGGATGAGGAGGAACATCATGGTTCCACGCCTAGTCAAAGGCCTAAAAGGGACATCATTAAACCTGCTCGGTTCAGAGATCCAAAGTTTGTTACTACCTTCTCGTGCTACTTTGCAGCTCCATTATATGAAGATGAGCCAACATCTTATGATGAAGCAAAAGATGTTGACAAGTGGGAAACCGAAATGAAGGAGGAGATGAATGCTCTCATGAAGAACGAAACTTGGGATTTGGTTCCAAAACCCAAGGATGCCCAACCTGTTTCTTGTAAATGGGTGTACCGGATCAAGCGCAAAACAGATGGAAGCGTTGATAGATACAAGGCAAGGTTGGTTGCTCGGGGATTCTCTCAAAAGTATGGAGAAGACTATGATGAGACCTTCAGCCCTGTAGCCAAGATGACTACGGTACGCTCTCTCTTATCTTTGGCTGCAAGTTTTGGTTGGAAGTTATGGCAATTAGACGTGAAGAATGCTTTTCTATATGGAGAGCTTGACAAGGAAATCCTGATGGAGCAACCACTTGGTTTCATATCACGAGAGAATCCTGATTATGTGTGTAAGCTGAAGAAGGCCTTGTATGGGTTAAAACAAGCTCCACGAGCCTGGTATGGAAAGCTTGCTCAGTTTCTTCAGTTCTGCGGTTATGTGGCATCAAACTCTGATCCGAGTCTATTCTTCAAGAAGAATGGAGGAGTCCACGTGGTAGTTCTCCTTTACGTGGATGATATGATAATTACCGGGAATGATGATGCAGAAATTACTCGTTTACAAGAGGATATGTCGATAAGGTTTGAGATAAAGAAGTTGGGAGAGCTCAAAAACTTTCTCGGTTTGGAGGTAGAAAGGGTAAAGGGTGGAATATTCATCGGCCAACAAAGCTATGCAAGAAGAATTGTTGAGAAGTTTGGAGTACACGAAGGAAAGACACGCTCTACTCCAATTGACGTCAACATAAAGCTTAAACGTGATGAAGGGTCTTTGCTACCTGATCCTCGGCCTTATCGCTCTCTTGTAGAAAGTCTTTTATACTTAACCATTACAAGACCTGACATTGCCTTCGCGGTAGGTCTTGTAAGTCGATTTATGCAGGCACCAAGGAAACCACATTTAGAAGCAGCAAAGAAGATATTGAAGTATGTGAAGACAACTCTTGGCATGGGTCTGGTGTACAAGTATAATGCCAAGGTCTCTCTTTATAGCTTCACGGATGCTGACTTTGGTGGAGATCTTGATGATCGGAAATCAACTTCAGGCTATGTGTTCCTATGTGGGGACACAAGTGTCTCATGGTGCAGTAAGAAGCAAGCAACGGTGTCATTATCTACAACTGAAGCAGAGTATAAAGCTTCAACTCTAGCAGCTCAAGAGTGTAGATATGTCGATAAGGTTTGAGATAAAGAAGTTGGGAGAGCTCAAAAACTTTCTCGGTTTGGAGGTAGAAAGGGTAAAGGGTGGAATATTCATCGGCCAACAAAGCTATGCAAGAAGAATTGTTGAGAAGTTTGGAGTACACGAAGGAAAGACACGCTCTACTCCAATTGACGTCAACATAAAGCTTAAACGTGATGAAGGGTCTTTGCTACCTGATCCTCGGCCTTATCGCTCTCTTGTAGAAAGTCTTTTATACTTAACCATTACAAGACCTGACATTGCCTTCGCGGTAGGTCTTGTAAGTCGATTTATACAGGCACCAAGGAAACCACATTTAGAAGCAGCAAAGAAGATATTGAAGTATGTGAAGACAACTCTTGGCATGGGTCTGGTGTACAAGTATAATGCCAAGGTCTCTCTTTATAGCTTCACGGATGCTGACTTTGGTGGAGATCTTGATGATCGGAAATCAACTTCAGGCTATGTGTTCCTATATGGGGGCACAAGTGTCTCATGGTGCAGTAAGAAGCAAGCAACGGTGTCGTTATCTACAACTGAAGCAGAGTATAAAGCTTCAACTCTAGCAGCTCAAGAGTGTATTTGGCTTCGGAGACTCCTTGAAGATCTGTTCGAGCCAATCAATAAGCCAGTTACAATTTATGGAGATAATCAAAGTGCGATCAAGCTGGCCAATAATCTGGTGTTCCATGGGAGGACTAAACACATTGAGTTAGAGCATCACTTCATAAGGGAGAAGGTACTTGATGGGACAATTGAAGCTTTAGAAGTTCGAAGCGAGGACAACGTTGCGGATATCTTCACCAAGTCATTACCAAAAGGTCAGTTCGAGTTACTTCGCTTGAAGCTCGGGATGGCTGACAAAATCAAGTTTAAGGGGGAGTATTGAAGTTAAACTTGATTTTGAGTTAAGCTTAATTTTGGGTTTATAATTTAATTATTAGTTATTAGATTAGGCCTAAAATTAAGCCCAAGTTCTACAATCTCTAGAAACATCACTAAAAATCATCATCATCTTAAGTGTTCTACAGAATTCTATTAGTTAAATATCTAGATAATTCTAGATATTATAGTTAAAAATCTAGATATTGTTGTAGAGAATTCTAGAGATTAAGAGAATGTTTGTAAGATATTTTGTAATAGTAGAGCCTATAAATAGCCCACTACTCCATCATTTGTAAACAATGAGAAGTTGAACAAATAAACAAAGAGTGTTCTTCATAAGTTCTCTTATTCTCTCTAAAGTTCTTTCAAGTTTTTTTCTTTCATCCTTTTATTCATACTTAGAGGGTCTTTGTTTCTTACGGGTCTCTCGGGTATTACGGTCTTGGGCTAGTGCTAAGCACTATCGGTTTTGTCTTTACACACTCCACTTGCTATAGAAGTCGATCTCTTCAGGAACCCTCCATTCTTTGGAGTCACCGACGCTGTAGGTTTTTCCAAAAGGAAAAATCTTTCTCGATGGTGGTGGTGGAAGCCGATGTGACAGGTCATGGACGACAAGAATGTTGAGTCTTTGTCCGGATAGGCATTGAGTAGGATTTGAGCTGATGAAGTAGTAAGAACCTGGTTCCGTGAGGGTCACGACATCGTGTCCTGTCTTGTATACGGCTTTAGGAGAGGAAGAGTCGCAGAATTTGTATTCCAAAGCACCAGAGACTTGAGTCACATCGTTGTACTTGCGATCGTATTTGAAGATGAGAGAATCTCCCACGTGGAACTCCTTAAGCTTAGCCTAATCAGAATAGGCATCGTCCTTCGCCGTCCATCCCTCGGAGTCTCCGACTTTGTAGATTTTCGCCGAGCAACAACATCCCATTAGAACCGTGAGGCTCATCAACACAGCATGAGGCACAAGGTTCTTGTTGTTGTTGTCATCATTATCGATAGAAGACAGATTGAAGAAAAACTTAATGAATCACAGAATCAGATAGCGTTGTTGAGTATGTGAATGAGAAAAATAGACTATCTTAAGGCTTTATTTATAAGTTTTTACGGAACCTAATCTTACTAGTTTTAGAATTTCACTTAGTACTTTATCATGATTACCTGATTATTTTATCCGCGTTTCTAATATACATATATTTCCTTTTACAATTTAGATTCACATCTTATTTTGCAAAAACAAAAACAAAAAAAAACAACGTTTAAAGATCTCTCTAATCTTTTTCTGCGTTTTCTGATCAGACTTGTGTATGGTTTTAGTTTTTCTAATTTCATCAAAAATCTTATCCTATACAGAGTATTATTTTCCATTGTTAATTTGATATCTAATTTCCTGTTTAAAACTACACACTTCTTATGCAGTTATATCTATTATATAAAAACTGGGTTATGTCTCACAAAAGCCTTACACATCAGCATCTTTGTCCATGACACATCAGCTTTGGATTTTTATATTTACTTTTTATATATTTTGAACTTTTCCAACCTCTTCATCTCCCTTGAAAATCAGTCAATATTTCGTTTACTCTCGATAATAAATATTGCAGACGCCCAGAGTTTCCTCACAATTACACAATCACATGACTTCACTTTCTCTTTTTCTCCCTGGATTTTTCAGAAAAAGTCATTCTCTTCTTTTTTGCAAAAGCTTTTGGATCTGTTTTCATCCGAATTAGCTTCCCCTTCAGGCCGGATTTAGGTTTATCTTTCTTCCTTGCTGTTCCTTGCCAACTGAGGTACGGTGGTTGATATATCATGATTTTTATGGTTTTTAACCATGATATAAGTCATTTTTATTGAGTCGTTTTGGTCTTTTTAGAGTCCTAGAAGAGTCTTTGCAGGTTATAGCATGTTTGGAGCATAATTGGAGATATTGGAGCCTTTTGGAGCATTTCGAGTTGAAGCCACGAAGTACCTAGCTCGGAGAAGAAAGTATGCCATATGGTGATGCTCGTCACCACCCTTGGTGACACTCGTCACCCATGAAGGAAGGAGGTCGTGGCTATTTATTAAAAGATAGAGTATTATTTGCAGAATTGGCCCAGAAGTTCCATTATTTACAAGAAAGCCCCATATCGTGTTTAGCCTCTAGTTATTAGGTTTTTCAGCCATTGTTGGTTTTTATCTTAGTTTTTGAGAATTCAGAGAGCTTAGAGAGAGATTTATTCAGAGCTTTTTGGGGAGACAAATCATGTACTCTTTTGAGAAGATTTCGAATCCCCTTATTCTTTTACTCTTTCTCTTAATGTAATTTTATTCAGTTATGTTTTGTGATTCCATGATCATGTCTGAGTAATCTGCTAGTTAAGTTAGGGCTTTTTCAAAGGTTGATGAAGAGTTTGTAGAATTGCTACATGTTAGGAATATATTTTGGGTTTTCATCTCTGCTTGCTTTAAAATCAAATTTCTGAGACACATCATCTAGAAATCCGAAAATCATAGGTTGTTAAATATATGTGAGAGCATTATTGATAGCCTGAACTAGTATTTGATGAGCAAAACAACTTAGTGCAAAGAGTTTTGGCTTAGGAGTTTTGTAAACAATTGAATCTGATCATTTCTGCATGTTTAGGTTGTTAGGGTTTGCAAAGAGATTTGAAACTCTGTGATTTAGGCATAGATAACTTATGCAATGAGAATTGATTAGTTATACATCAGTGATTCATGTTTAAAACGGTTCTTAATCATTCCTGATTTCTTGCATTCTACATTCTTGGATTCAACCTGTGAACTGTCCTGACTTAGCGCTTTTAGTCTTCTAAAACTTAGATCAAACAACAAAATCGCTTGCTTACTTTTATTTAATCATTCGCATTACATACATTACATTCTGCTTAGCTTAATTCGAACCTACATTCGATAGTGTAGTTTACATTACTCTCTTGGGATTCGATACCCATTGTACTACAACTGTTTTGCTATGCACTTGCTGTTGACTTAAGCTTGAAGATAACTTAAGTTAGAGTTTATCCTAATCAAAGCATATTTAGGAGTTATCTAAATATGAGTGTTTCTAGATAGATTAGGATTTGTCTCTTGGCTATATAAGCTATGTCGAGTTGTGACATTAGCTATGAGTTTTGAGATTGAGAGTTTAAGTTTTGAGTTATTTTCTTAAACTAATAAAGAGAGTCATTTTTTATCAATCTTTGAGTTCATATTTCTGATTTTAATTCAACAATTGGTATCAGAGCTTCAGTGCTTTAGAGAGATCGAGTTATGGGGGACTTGGTCGCTGCAACAGCAGCAACAAAACCTAAGGAAGGAGGAGGACCGTCCTCAATAACCTGTCCGATGTTGAATACGACCAACTATACAGTATGGGCTATGAGAATGCGAATAACTCTCAAAGTTCATAAGGTATGGGAGGTTATAGAGACAGAGGCGAATCCACCCGACGGAGAGAAGAACAACTTGGCTATCGCCCTACTATTCCAATCAATTCCCGAGACACTCATTCTACAGGTCGGTGAGCTAGATACGGCTAAGAAAGTGTGGGAAGCAATTAAGGCAAGATATGTAGGAGCAGAAAGAGTTAAAGAAGCGAGACTTCAGATGCTGATGGCTGAATTTGATCGGTTGAAGATGAAAGATTCAGATAAAATTGATGACTTTGCTGGAAAGTTATCAGAGATAGCGTCAAAATCTTGAGACAATGAAGTCTATGTTCAAGAGAGAACTGGTCCAAGGAGTTCCACACATCGAGTTTGAAAAAGAAGTGTGTGGATCGTGCCTACTCGGGAAGCAAGCAAGGCAAGTCTTTCCTCAAGCTACTTCATATCGAGCATCCAAAGTACTTGAACTCATACATGGAGACCTCTGCGGACCTATAACGCCAAATACAGCTGCTGGAAACAGATATATTTTTGTCCTTATTGATGATCATTCGAGGTATATATGGACAATCTTGTTAAAGGAAAAGGGCGACGCCTTTAACAGATTCAAGAATTTCAAACGTTTGGTAGAACAAGACTCAGGAGAAAGTATTAAAACCTTCAGAACTGACCGAGGTGGAGAATTTGTCTCACAAGAATTCGACTCATTCTGTGAGAAATCTGGGATTAGGCGTCATCTCACAGCTCCTTATACCCCGCAGCAAAACGGAGTTGTAGAAAGACGCAACAGAACGTTAATGGAGATGACACAGAGTATCATGAAACACATGCATATACCGAATTACCTATGGGGAGAGGCAATCCGGCATTCCACGTACTTGTTGAACAGGGTAGCAACAAGAGCGCTTAAAGACAAGACTCCGTATGAAATCTACAAGTCCAAAAAACCGCAGATCAACCATCTTAGAGTGTTTGGTTGTATTGGCTTCGCGAAGGTAGATAAACCGCATCTCAGAAAGTTAGATGACAGGTCACGGATGCTTGTTCATCTAGGAACAGAACCTGGATCAAAAGCTTATCGACTGCTTGATCCAGTGTCTCGAAAAATAGTGGTAAGTAGGGATGTAGTCTTCGACGAAACAAAAGGATGGAACTGGAGTCACGATACTTCTGATCAAGCCGGAAGTTTCAGTGTCGCCCTTGGAGAATTTGGTAATCGTGGAATACAAGAGGAGCGAGAATTAGAATCAGACATAGAACAAACCATCACGCGCCAGTCCGGAAGCGTGAATGAAGCAGCGAATAATGAAAATCGCGAATCACATGAGAATCACGAAACACATGAGACACATGATCTGGTTCGAACAAGCCCAGAAAAACAGAGTGAGGAAAAACAGAGTGGGGAAAAACAGAGTGAAGAAAAACAGAGTACCGTGATTGCACGAAATAACTCAGGAAAACAGAGCGTCATGACAGCACCGGTTCTGCGACGAACTGAAAGAGAAAGCAATCTACCAACGTATCTGCAAGATTACGCGTTACTTACTAAGGATTACATGTTACTCGCAGAGGAAGAGGGAGAGACACTATTGCTATGTCTAAACAATGAGCCACGAAGCTTTGACGAAGCCAAAGACTCGCGGGAATGGACATTAGCGTGTGAAGATGAAATTTCGTCTATCGAAAAGAACCTCACATGGAATCTGGTGGATCTACCGAGAGGCGCTAAAGCAATTGGATTAAAGTGGGTTTTTAAGCTGAAACGAAACGCTGATGGTAGTATAAACAAACACAAAGCGCGACTGGTTGCAAAAGGTTATGTGCAACAGTATGGGGTTGATTTTGAGGAAGTTTTTGCTCCAGTAGCTCGGATTGAGACGATACGGTTGCTGTTTAATCTCGCTGCATCAAATGGTTGGGAAATACATCACCTGGATGTAAAGACAGCCTTCTTACATGGTGAACCGAAGGAAGTCGTATATGTTACACAACCGGAGGGTTATAAAGTTAAGGGACAAGAGAATAAAGTCTACAAACTTAACAAAGCGTTATACGGACTCAGGCAAGCACCTAGAGCTTGGAATAATAAACTGAATCAGATCCTTATGGGATTTCAGTTCAAAAAGTGTTCAAAAGAACCCTCGGTATATCGAAAGGAGTTGAAAGGGAATCTTCTTGTCGTGGCAGTATATGTGGATGATCTGTTTGTTACGGGAACAAACATGAGGATCATTGACGAGTTTAAGGCAGAGATGGCTAGCAAGTTCGAGATGAGTAATCTCGGAAGACTCACATACTACCTCGGGATTGAAGTGGTTCAATGCAGCGAAGGTATAGTTTTGAGCCAGAAGCGATATGCTCAGAAAATTCTGGAAGAAACTGGTTTCAAAGATTGCAACCCAGTTCAAATACCAATGGATTCAGGTTTAAAACTGGCTAAATAAAGATGAGAAAGAGATAGATGCCACTTGGTATAGGAAAAACGTAGGATGCTTGCGATATCTGCTTCATACTAGACCCGATCTATCCTATTGTGTAGGAGTGTTAAGCCGATATATACAGAGCCCGAGGGAGTCTCATGGAACTGCTATGAAACAGTGCCTTCGATATCTGAAGGGGACTACTACAT